TCAGGCCATCGCCGAGAGCAGTGCTTCTCAACCTGGTCACTTAAGACCATCGGAAAACACATATTTCCAATGGTCTTAGGAACCAAGACACCGCTCCTCTATCCATCTCCACGTGGGTTCACCCACATGCAGATACGCCCACATATGAGGACCCCGCATGAAGACGGTTACCCAGGCTACACCATGCTTTGAGACAAAATTTCATTTCTTTGTCATTAGAAATAAATATTTCGGCTCTCTGCTCCTCCTCGTGCAACAGACAGCCGCCTCTCCCGTTCCTGTGCAGTCCCAGCCGCATCCCGAGACACCATGGTGAAGGTCGGAGTGACCAGATTTGGCCGCCTTGGGCGCCTGGTCACCAGAGCTGCTTTCAATTCTGGCAAAGTGGAAATTGTTGCCATCAGTGACCCCGTCATTGATCTGAACTACATGGTCTACATGTTCCAGTATGATTCCACCCACAGTTTGTCATGACCCACACAGTGGAGTGCCTGTGTGTAGTCAATAGAGCACAAGTCAACATCTTTCTGGCTTTCTCAGCTTTCACCCCAAACCATTTGACGTCAGCAAGGAAATCCCTTGTTCCATGGCCTCTTCTGAAGATGGCTTCCATTTCTGGAAGTTCTCTGTATTGTTGCAGTTGGTTTTTAATGATCTTCACCAAAATGTTACTTGCATGTGGTATGAATGATGTTGCTTGATAGTTTCCCCACTTGGTCAGGCCCCTTGTATTCTCCATGGGCACAAATGTGGGTCTCTTCTCCTCAGCGGTAACGCTCTTCCACATACCCTGTGATATAGATTAATGAGTGTTTCTGGGGTTCGTCAGTTTGTTGAAACTTTTGAATACGTATTATTTTTCAATTCATGATGACTTATTTTATTCTTAATGTCTTCAGTGCAGCTTGCACTTCTTCCTTCAATATCATAGGTTCTTAATCATATACTACCTATTGAAAGGATTGAACCTCAACAAATTCATCGCAGTTAAGTAACTCTGTGTATTCCTTCCATCTCCTTTTGATGCTTCCTGCATCATTCAGTATTTTGTCGATAGAAACCTATATTTCTACTCAAGGCTTGAGTTTTTCTTTAGCTCTTTCAGCTTGTGATATGTTGGTTTTCTTTGAGTGTCTCATTGTTATGTTTTGTTTTCTTGAACACCCTTTTGAAATGTTCTGTTCAACTCTTTTACCTCATCTTTTCTTTCATTGGCTTTAGCTTTACATGCATGAGTAAATTTTCACTTTGGTCTTATCTTTCTTTCCTGTCTTTAAATGACTTGTTTCTTTTTCCATGTATTATATTTTCAAAGTCATCCTACAACTAATCAGATTTTCAGTCACTGGTGTTTAATGCCGCAAATCTGTCCTTGAGATGGTTTCTAAATTCAGGTGGTATATACTCAAGGTCATAGTTTGGCTCTTGTGGACTTGTTTTAATTTTGCTCAGCTTCAACCTGAGCTTATAGCTAAAGAATTGATGGTCTGTTTCACAGTCAGCCGCTGATTTATTTTGGTTAATGACATAGAACATGTCTATTGTCTCTTCCCACAGATGTAGTCTGTTGGACTCCTCTGTATTCCATATATGTAGGTCTACGGGTATAGTTGCCATTTTATGTTGTTGGAACATATATTAATGATGAATAAGTCATTGGTCTTTTAAAATTTGACCATGCGATATCTAGTTTCATTTTATCAAGGCAATATTTACTAACTACTGGTCCTTCATCTTTGTTTCTAGGTTTCACATTTCAATCACAAGTAATTACTCAATACATCTTGATCGTATGTTTGATCAATTTCAGACCAAAGAAACTAGTAGAATTCTGCAACCTATTCATCATTCGATTTAATGGCGGGATCATAAATTTAAATAACAGTTGTACTAATTGATCTCCCTGGTAGGCATGTAAATAGTATCCTATTACAAACAGACAAATCTTGAAATGTTATTTTTGATGATGAATGTAGTGCCACTCCTCTGCAACCATTATCCCAGCAGAGTAAACGCGATTACGGTCTAATTAAAAATGGGCAATACCAGTCCTTTTGTGTGTCTGTGTTTCAAAAATTTCAAAGAAAATATCATAAAAAAATAATGGAATTAGTTTTTCCGTGAACTCTTTGAAGCCCCCTGTATTCCTTACAGCACACAACATGTTTCTTTCTCCAATAGAGAAACCGTGTTCTTGCCTTTTCTTTCCCTTCTACTCTACTGACCATGACACGTTGGTGCCCACACTCATAGTTCTCTCGTAGACACTAGATTTTACTGCAACTCCAGGCCATCCGATCAGATTCCAGAAAGCAAGAAAAAGTGAAATAAGGCAGCCCTAACACTTCCACTTACTTTTTGTTGACCAAAACCATATCAACTAGTCACTCTACATGGCCAGCCCTAGCAACAAAGAAACTATTACCATCAAGTTGATTCCAATTAATAGCAACTCTGCAGGGTTTCTGAAGCTGTACATCTTTATGAGAACAGATAGACTCATCTTTCTCCCAGGGAGCAGTCGGTAGGTTCAAACCTCTAACCTTGCAGTTAGTGGCCCAATGCTTGCCTGATACATTCCTCAGGACTCCTCACTAGCAGAAGAACCAAATTCAAACTCACTGCCATCAAGTTGTTACTGACTCATAGAAACCCTGTAGGACAGGGTAGAACTAACCCTGTGGGTAGAAAGCCTCATCTTTCTCCTGGAGACCAGCTGGTGGTTTTGAACTGCTGACCTTAGGTTAGCAACCCATCACATAACCCACTATGCCATGAGGGCAGAGAGACTTCAAATTGGGTTTAAGGCTTTTAAGCCCGTGTATCAATTAGTTATGATGTGATAAACCGCAAAGGTGGAAGTCTTGCTCACCTGACTTGCCATCAGGTTTGGGTTGGATGTGGCTCTGTCTGTGTGTCTTTCTCTAGTGACTCGCTGAGGGAGCAGTCCTTCTCATATGGATTTCTTTCCTGTGATGGAAGGAATAAGGAGGTGCCAGGACCATAAAATGGCTCTTTAAGATTCTGCTCCGATGGACATTGGGCTTCCACTCAAGTACTCCCTCAATGCAAGAATACTTTGTTCTACTCAACTGGCATTCCATGATGCTCACCTTCCCCACACGATCGCTGAAGACAAAATAGGTGCATGAGCAAATGTGGTGAAGAAAGCTGATGGTGCCTGGCTATCAAAAGATATAGCATCTGGGGTCTTAAAGACTTGAAGGTAAACAAACAGCCATCTAGCTCAGAAGCAACAAAGCCCACATAGAAGAAGCACACCAGCCTGTGTGATCACTAGGTGTCGAAGGGATGAGGTATCGGGCATCAGAGAACAAAAAACCATATCATTGTGTGCTCACCTTCCTGATGCAATTGCTGAAGACAAATGGGTGCATAAGCAAATGTGGCGAAGAAAGCTGATGGTGCCCGGCTATCAAAACATATAGTGTCTGGGGTCTTAAAGCCCTGAAGGTAAACAAGCGGCCATCAAGCTCGGAAGCAGCAAAGCCCACATGGAAGAAGCACACCAGCCTGTGTGATCACGAGGTGTTGAAGGGATGAGCTATCGGGCATCAAAGAACAAAAATCATATCATTGTGAATGAGGGGGAGTGTGGAGTGGAGACCCAAAGCCCTTCGGTAGGCAACTGGACATCCCCTTATGGAAGGGTTGCGGGGAGGAGATGAGCCAGTCAGGGCACACTGTAGCAACTATGAAACATACAACTTTCCTTTAGTTCCTAAATACTTCCTCCCCACCCACTATCATGATCCCAATTCTACCTTGCAAGTCTGGCTGGACCAGAGGATGTACACTGGTACAGATAGGAACTGGAAACACAGGGAATCCATTATGGATGGTCCCTTCAGGACCAGTGGTGAGAGTGGTGATACAGGGAGGGTGGAAGGAGGGAGGGGTAGAAAGGAGGAAGTGATTACAAGGATCTACATGTGACCTCCTCCCTGGGGGATGGACAACAGAAAAGTGGGTGAAGGGAGACGTCGGATAGTGTAAGATATAACAAAATAATAATTCATAAATTACCAAGGGCTCATGAGGGAGGGGAGCGGGGAGGGAGGGGGAAATGAGGAGCTGATGCCAGGGGTTTACATGGAGAGCAAATGTTTTGAGAATGATGAGGGTAACGAATGTACAAATGTGCTTTATACAATTGATGTATGTATGCATTGTGATAGAGTTGTAAGAGCCCCCAATAAAATGATTAAAGAAAAAAAAAAGAATTCTGCTCCAAAGTGGCACCCATCACTTCCTCACATCCCACTGGCTAAAGAATGTCACATTTTAAGCCTGATGTCAAGAAAACAGAGAAATACCAGGGGCCCTAAGGAGATTTGGTGTAAATGGAATGAAAAGATAATGGAATTTTTTCCCATGAATTTTTGAAACTCCCTCACCATAATTCACTTACCAAAAGGGTAGCAAATACTGGTCATCACAATACCATTTCATGTCTTCTATACGAAAAGCAGGAAGGTGAGAAGAGGAGAAGGAATGGAAATTGAGTCCACCATCTATGGTATCTGCCATGGGGCATGGGTGCGCATGTGTGTACACACACACACACATACACACACAATTCTTTCTTCTCCCTTCCCTCGCTTTCTTCCTTTCTCTCTCCCATCTTTCCTTCTCTTCTCTCTTTTTTCCTTCTTAGACAAGTATATACACCATTTGGGAGCTATGGTCTGAGCCACATCCTGTCTCCCTGGTGAAATAACTACCAATAGAAACATCCTGGTTATAAACTTAGTGTTTATTGTGGGGCAGTTCCACTTGGTATTAATTATAAGGGATTCCACTGTCATTGGACAGAAGACAACCTGCACCACAGACTCTTAGCACAACTCCGTTGTATATTAGAATCCACTGCTGTGGTAAGGTGATATGCAGGAGTAAAGCTTTCTGTTAAACCAGGAGAACTGCAGAAAATAATATGCCCAGTTCCTAAAGTTTTTGCTTTCTTTTTTCTGAATCAGGTGCTGTCCTACCACGCAACCTGTTCCAAAGCTGAAGTTGACAAGTTTAAGGTAAAAAAAAAAAAAAAAAAGAAACCTTTGTCCTCTTGGGATATAAAACTAAATGTTATATGGCCTCCGGACCTTTTATTACTGGCTTCTAGTTAGTCCTGCTGACTGGGAGTGGGAGAATGGAACTAGGAAACTGTGCAAATATTCTATATTTCTTCTCCTCACTTATCAACTAGCTCATTATCCAACATTGGTATTAATGAAAAAAGCCCAACCAAACTCATTGCCAGTGAGTTGATTCCAATTCATATCAAACCCTATTGGACAGAGCAGAACCACGTGCATATCTGAGACAGTAGCTTCTCCTGGAGTAGAAAGCCTCATCCTTCTCCCACGGAGTTGCTGGTGGTTTCGAACTGCTGACCTTGTAGTTAGCAGCCTAACTCCTTGCTGACAAAGCAAGCGATGCATTAATGACAATGGTTAAAAATCTCTTATCTGATTTTTTTTGCATTAATAATGTGCATCTGGCAGTAAAAAATAGTAACAAATGCTAAGGTGCTAGTGAGAAGAAAGCTAGATCTTCTATGGTTAAGATAAGCGTCAACTTGACTCGGCTATCGATCTCAGTGATTTGGCAGGTATGTAACGTGGTGATTACGTACTGATGTAGTGATCCTTCATTTTGTGATCTGATATGATCATCCTGTAACCCTGGTGGTATAGTGATTACATCCAAAAGGTCAGCCGTTCAAAACCACCAGCTGCTCTGAAGGAGAAAAAGGGAACTTTCTACTCCTGTAAAGAGTTACAGTCTCAGAAACTCATAGGGACAGTTCTACCCTGTTCTACAGGGTCTCTATGAATCAGCATCGTCTTGAAGACAGTGAGTTTTGAGTTTGTGGTGATCCTATATTTTTGCATTACACCGGTTCTGCCTTAGGCCCTGGTCTCTGGAAACTAACCACATGAGTAAGTTAAAACAGGGTGTCTCACTATATTTTTACTGCTACAATTATTATTGTATCTAAAAGGGGTAAAGTGGGCAGCAATAAAGACAGAAAACTTATAACGGGCTACATATGACTGTGTGAGATATTGGAGGGAACATGCCCAGAGGAATTGGAAGCCAATATAGCTAGTTCTCTACATTCTGGAGGTTTTTGCTCTACATTCAGACAGTTGTGTTTTATTTTTAACCTTACACAAGTTTTTATTACAGAAAGGTTGTCACCAATAATTTGATATCTGTCTACTTTCTACGCGATTATTCTTAGTTCACAAAAGATGGCTTCCTAATTGCTCATCTAGTGGTAGCAAGCACAAAAATCCTAATTTTAGCAGAAGAGTCGTGAAGATGCCTCCACGATTTGATGTAAAAAAGTTCATTGCTAATGGCTCTTGCACCCAGTATCAGGAACGGACAGAAGTCTTTTTATTCAAAAATGCAAAAAGCATGGGCAACAAGAGCAATGCGCCAGTATATATTGTCAACGGAAACCACTACCTGAGGGTTGTAAGGATTTTCTTAAGGTATCAGCAAGCCTTTCCTTCAGCCATTTTCTTCTCTGGACTGACTTCTCTGAAGTTGTTGGTGAGGAACACTGCCTCGAGCTTCCTATCATGGTTCATCCAAAAATGGCAAAGCACTATTCCAGGCATTAGAGCATACTCCCTTCTAGACTTCCCATGGCACCTCTTCCCATTCCACCCACGCTGCCCATGCCAGGCTCCTTCTCTTCTGTAGCACTTTTGAAGTGCAACATCTGCTGTGGCAAACATGGAGGCTAATCAGCAACATCCCATAGAGCAGTTCTCATAAGCCTGTGTGGACCAATGATCCCCTTTCCTACCATAGTCACACAATCTCCCATCACAGCATCACAACCAACTTCTGAGGAACGCTGCCTAATTTTCTCAAATACCAGTGATCCTTCAACACCTGCATTCCTAGCAGTGGTCTTTGCAGGGATTTTGAGTGTTCTTTTAATAATTTCTGTACCAACTTTTAATCTTCACTTCTTGGAGTTAGTGAGTCCATGCACCGAAGCAGAGAGCAACCATGTCCAAGAACAACGCTTCCTCAATTGCAGCTGTTGTTGCACCGCGGGCACCTGTAATTGTCTTCCTTGTCACTCACTTCCACAGCACTCGTTCCACCAACTTTTAGCACAGCTCCCATCCAAAAGCTTTGCCAGACTTTGGTTCAATATTTCCTTTTCATACGCAGTAGTTGTGATGTCCAAATGCTCAATGCTTTCTTGAGTATATTTTTCTGTTTGAACGTTGTCACCTTTTGCCTTTCAAGAGCATGTCTTCCTCTTTGGTCACAATGACCTCTTCACCTTGCCTAAGGCATGAGGCTGAGCATCTTCAAGATTCAGAGTCAATCCCTCTTCTCTAAAGACTGCACCACCAGTAACAATAGCCATGTCTGTAGCTAGTTCTGTTCATTGTCACCAAAACCTGGAGCTTTGACGGCTACTACATAAAGACTAACTTTTTTAAAAATTAAATAATCATGTTATTAGGGGCTCATACAACTCATCACAATCTGTACATACATCATTTGTGTCCAGCACATTAGTACATATGTTGACTTCATCATTCTCAAAACACCCGCTTTCTACTTGAGCCCTTGGTGCCAGCTCATTTTTCCCCATTCCTCCCTCCCCCTGAACCCTTGATAATTTATAAATTATTATTATTTTATCATATCTTACCCTATCCAACGATAAAGACTAACTTTTAACCTGTTCAAACCGAGGGGACTTAGAGCTTCTCTGTCAACACCTTCAGCAATGATGACCAAAGGTGTACAGTGAGCACTGGCAATTTCAAGAGCAGGTATAATAGACTGGAGACTAGGACTTTTCTTGTCACTTAATAGAATATGGGCATCCTGCAATTCATGTTTTTTACCTGTGGATGTATTGATAAAGTATGAGGAAATATAACATTGGCCAAACTTCATGCCTTCAATATCTCTAATTCTTCATTCAGTGTTTGTCCATCCTTTACTGAAACGATTCTCTTTCCTTCAACCGATTTTATTGCATCAGAAAAGATGTTGCCAATTTCTTTGTCTCGATTTGCAAAATCCTAGCAACCTGAGTAATTTCTTGTATAGGTTTAGACTGCTTCTTAAGTTTAACCATGACCGCTGCCATCACCTCTCCTTATTTCCACTGGATGAGCACCTTTGCTGAGGAGCCCTGGTACACAGTGGTTACACACGGAACTACTAACACCAAGGTCAGCATTTGAAGCCACCAGACACTAGGGGGAAATCACTGAAGCTTTCGATTCCCATAGTCACAGTTTCTGAAACACACCGGGGCGGTTCTACAGGTTCTCGATGAGTAGGAATCAACTCAATGATGGCAGGGTTTTTAATTTTTTTATTTGTATGGAACGCCTCAGCTAATCTTCTGAAAGCCTTCCTTGGCAATAGAGCATGCCACTGCAGTGGCACTGGGAGCGCCGTCCCCAGACTCTTTACTTGCGATCTTGGCAACATCCTGAACAAGTTGGGCCCCAATATGTTTGCATTTATCCTTGAATTCAATTGGTTTTGCAAAAGTGACACCATCTTTTACTTTGGGACTTCCTCAGCTCTGCTTAATATCACTGCTTTCCCTTTGACCCCATAGTAATGGCTGCAGTATTGACTACAAGGTTTACACCGTGAAGCATTAAGACCCAGGCATCTGCACCAAATTTTACATCAGTAGCATAAGCCCTAGTGAGATGAGGAGCCAGCACCATGTATACTGGGCCTCATTTGTCAAAAGACTGCAGGAAATTGGAGCATTTCTGCAGGACGGCTGGTAGGTGTGCAGGCAGAGAGGCAGGCTGTCTCAGTGAGAGAGGGATAGCAGGCACGACACAGAGAGCAACGAGACTGTGTCCTCTCCCTCCATCACACCTATGTGCTGCCAGCTCCCATGTCCAGACTTAATTGTTTGCTTGAAGAAAACCTCATTACCATAGAATTGGCCACACGTTTCTATTTTTATCTCACAAACATACTAAAAACATGAAGTATTTAAATTTGAGGGAAAAAAGAGCTATTTCATCTTAAAATTATCAAGATTATTAGTCTAATTTGTTCTAGACTTTATCCTGAAAGATATTAACTGGTATCCGATTGCAATGTAATTGAGACATAGTGGATAAGTATAACATAATGGCTTCTTTTCTTGATTATAAGGTTAATAAAACATTCTAATTGGTAGCTAATATCTGTTACAACTGCAGCAATAATATTAAAATATAGTAGGTTTAAAATCATCCTATACAGAGACAGTAAAAATCATTTACTGAAATTCCAAGCCAGAGTATTATGTAATGCCCACATCCTAACATTGTGGATAAATAGCAGCTCTGTTTTGAGGAATTATGCACTAACAACCTATGCTCACATTCAAACATACTGAGACCTTTGCTTTGAGGGTATATCAAAAGTATTGCTACTAGGGCTCAAGTTCATATTGATTGATTCAAATAAAATATAATATACAAGAGGTACCCCCCAAAATGGAATTTTTTTTCAAAGCTATGTGTTTACTTTTTTTTTTTTAATCAATTTATTGGGGCTCATACAATTCATCACAATACATAGATCAATTGTATAAAACACATCTATACATTTGTTGCCCTCATTATTCCCAAAATTCGCTTGCCTCTTGGGTTCCTGGAATCAGCTCATTTTCCTTTTTTTCCCCCTCCCCTTCCCTTCCTCCTCCCTTCTCCCCCATGCACACTTAATAATTCATAAAATATTGTATCATATTACACTGTCCGGCGTCTCCCTTCACCCACCCCCCTGCTGCCCGTCCCCCAGAGAGTAGGTTATACATAGCTCCCTGTGATCCATTCCCCCTTTCTTCATCCCCTTTCCCTCCTGGTATCGCCACTGTCACCCCTGGTCCTGAGAGGTTCATCTGTCCTAGATTCCCTGCGTTTCTGATTCCCATCTGTCCTGCTGTGCTTCATCTGGTCTAACCAGGTCTGCAAGGCAATATTGGGGTCCTGGTAGTTGGGGGGAGGAAGCATTT